CGTCTAAGCTTTTAGAAAACAAATAATTTTAATATTTGAAAGTTCTCATATCAAATAATTTTATTCACAGTTTACACGAGTAAAAAAAAGTGTATAGACCTTTGTTTCTGGCGTTCTTTTATAACTGACTACGGTCAATGTTTTGCTCATTGTTAAAGATCGTACAGTGACCTATAGTTACTTAGATCCACGTCATTTGGTGTCTGGTGGATAGTTGTCTCATTAGAAATCTTCCTTTTTTATTAACAATGCAAAATAAGTCTTAATTTCCAAAATATACCCTTTTTCTAACAAACAAAATTAAATCTTTCCCGAAAATTTGTATTCAATCTTTAAGTTAGTAATACATTCATCAAATATGCCATTCACAATTTGAGTGACTCCAGCTAACAAGTAAATCCACAGAAAATCGTGTCACCCAAGTAAAGAACACATTATTCTGACTACAGGCAGATTGGTCTTTTGTTTTATTCCCAAACCACGCATGCTTGGCGAAGAAGTAAAGGTGGTTCTTTTTAACCAGCCTGGGATTAAGCCCTTACTTTTACACATTCAGGGCGAGCAAACTATTACGTAACTCCCTGTGTGGTTATCATTGTTTAAGACCGTATGTTGAGCTCTGCTTCTTCTTTTTATGTCACTGTGTTGCTGTTACATTGCCATCTACATCAAATATCTTTTTAGATATATTTACAAAATCCTCAAAAAATATATATTTCAACAGACATGTAAGATTTTTCAGAATCGCATTTGGCGGATTATTTTCAGCGTAGGACTATTATTAGCAAGATATAATGACTGATAGTTGCATTCATGCAATTTTTTTGGAATTCAGCTACATGTATATTTACTCACATTATAATAAAACTCAGTTCTCCAAATTTGTTTGCAAAAAAGTCAAATTCGTTTCATATGTTTGAATAAGACGGTTATAATGTGAATGTAGTCCGAGGTTTTTAAAACAAAAGTTTGTGTTTGTTTTCTTAATTTTTTTAAGCGTTAAGTCAAATTTGCAAAACTTAAGAGCCAACCAGGAAGAAAGAACAAATAAAAAACATACCCATAATAAACTAAATATTCATATGGTTTGTCAACAAATTAAACATCAAATTTTGTTTTGCTAAAAAAAATTATCTTACGAACGACACAAGCATTTAATGTTTAACAATGGACTAAAATATGATTTAGGAAATTCATTTAGCTTAATTTATTTTCAGAACACCACCGGTGTTTTTAGTGGGGTTCGTCTTGATCAGTATTTATTTTACTATGTACTGTATTGAAGATTGTTGTTTGTCATCTCGTCGTTTTTCATTTTTTGTCTGGGTGTTGTCCGTTTCTCATCAACATATGAGTTTGGACACTATTTGGTATCTTCAGTCTCTTTTCTGATTGTTTTGTTCTTTTTGTTTTGTCTCACACTAACAAATGTTTTCCAGCATGAGGACACAAGAAAAACAGAATGTATGCCTAATATTGTTGTCCTGGCCTTAGTTCATTTTGTACCCAAATATATAGATATTGAATTCGATATATCGACATACTCATATACATTAATACTATAACTGGCTATTGGCTATAGTTTTATCTTGTTGACAGATTTTTATCACAGTTTTCCACTAGACAGATTTGGTTTTATTATGAATATCATGTCATCGTTGTGGCGACATAACTTCTCATCTTATTATCTACTAAGGTGGTACATAACACTACAGGGAGATAACTCTGTAAAAATCAGCTGAACGTTTTAATCACAATCTATTGTTAAGGAAATATTAAGCTTCTCAATGATCAAAATTAGTGTTTGTCAAACTACTATATATCCAATAAAATTTTTCCGATAAAGTGTGTGGTTCAAGTTTTTAGAAATTTTTTTTATATATTTTTGTCAAAGGGTCAAAGTAAATATTTTGTCAAAATTATTATGAAAATTAAACGAGCCAAATTAATTTTAGTCGAGGTGTTTGGTACCACCTTAAAAATATATGCCTTAAACATAAAACGGTTGAAGCCAGGTAACAAAATCTAAAGACAGAAGTGCCCTAGGTGTCTTTAGACTAGAACAATACGAAAAAGGGATATTTGTTGGTCCGCATAGAAACATTTACTCCAATTCTTACACATAGCTCCTTGTATATGCTGTCAAATTGCAAATTCGTTTCAACTATTGTTACAAAAAGGACTGTTTTGATTTCACTCGTCTGTTAAATGAATACCAGGGAAATTTAGTATAGAATTTGTCAAAAATGTTTTGTAAGATATTGAAAATGTATTAAAAGTTTTTGTAATTCAAATTTGTTCTGTTATTTTACAGGTGGTTGTAGAGAAGTAGGTGAATATTTCCACGCCGATCCTTGGAAAAATGGTACTTTAATGTCTAGTTAATATTACTTATTTATATTCATTCTTCAAATATTTATATATTCTCTCTTAAGTTTCAACGTAATAACTTAAAAAAAAAACACCTCATTAATCAAACATGTAAATAAAAGTTACTGCAAATTATCAAAGTTTCTGCCTCAAAATATAACGATGTTTTTTTTCTCGATTTAATTTTCATTTCACATGAACACAATTGCATTTGGCTTTGACTTTCGAAGATATATTGTTCTACTTGTTGATTGATTGACGATGTTTAAACGTCCAATAAAAATATTTCACGCTGTTGCACAACTAGAAAATGTTAACAGAATATAGAAACCGGTCAGAACTTACAAAAACAATAAACTTATGTTCAGGTGTTTATAGCTTGTTAAGGATGTTCGCTCCTCTCGTTTTTGAATTTTTGCCAGCTATTCGGATCCTCTGGTTTTATCCATGAATTGCCATAAAAATTTTGCCCGCTAACCCTGCTTTTCTTTTCATAATTTTATTACATTTAGTTTAAAAAGCCATATTTGAAAATCCTATAAAATCCTTGCTATTTTTTCCTAGTTTTTGAAAGAAAAAAGATGCCAATGTGAAATATATGAAAAATCTAGAGAGAATCATTTCCCGCCAAATTTTCAATGGGTTATATTTCGAAAACAAGCACACGAACCCTTTATTTTTTTCTGCTTTTTCAGGTACTTTATCTAAATTCTTTCATCTTTTAGAAAACTGTTATTTTGAAACAGAGAAGCGAACATCCTTAAATTTAAAAAAAATGCTGTTTTAAGTTGGAGCGATTCTGGTTATTTCATTACATGTATGTGAAGAATTAACATACGAACACTTTTTATGAATAATAATTGTTCTGTTCCAGTTTATAACAGTTGCATCATAGATCTGCAAACTTCAAATTCCGTAACCACCAGCCTTCAATCGAGAGTTAAACAAGTTGAGAAAGAATTAGCGATGCAGAATAATATCATAGCAAATTATGACAAGAAGCTTCTTCAAAGAATTTATGCATCTATAGAAGAACAGAATGCTTTATGGATGAAATGCATCGCTATAACTCCCGGCAGACCATGTGATGTTACACAAGGTTGTGCAACTAAAAACGGAAAATGTCTTCCAATAAACGTGTAGAAATTGTTCATTGTCTACTGTTGAGATATACTTGAAGTTCTTGCTCATCATAATGCAATTTAAGGTCAAGGTACAGTAAATGTGCTATGTCACAGATTTTGAAAAATTTTGCATACAACTTTGACTCATTGAACTATAACTAAGCATCGAAAAAATAAATCATGTATCTCTTTATTTTCTGAAATATTACTAAATTATTTAACATTATATATATATAGAAAGCACATAAAATCGACGGAAAACGTTTATAGATTTATATGCCCTTATATGTTACAGTTAGGGTTTTTGTTTGTGAGATAGTTGTCTACATATTCCATTATATTAATTTTCTATGTCTTTTACTATTAATTTCTATGTCATTTGGTCTCTTGTGGAGTTGTCTCATTGGCAATCATACCACATCTTCTTATTTTCATATTTACTGCTGGGTTTGTTACTCGTGATGTGTGGATGCAATAGAATGTGTCCCCGTGCCTGTAGTGTATACCCTTATATTTTACAGTAAGGGTATTTTGCTTGTGAGAGAGCCGTCTACATACTCCATTATATTAATTTTCTATTTCTTTTACTGTTAATTTCTGTGTCATTTGGTCTCTTGTGGAAAGTTGTCTCATTGGTAATTATACCACATCTTCTTATTTCTATATTGTCTTATAATATGATGATAAAATCTTTAGTTTCAAATCCATAGATTTTTTTTTAAATTGAAAGTTGTTGATGCATACATTGCCATTTGATTGGTATAAAATAATCTTAGAGTCACCGACTTCGTTGTTGGTGGATAAGCTAATCCGTTACCTATTTGGTAGTGAAAAACGTAATAAATCGACGATTTACGGCTTCCAAAGCGATGTCGTTACGCTTATTTCGCTTTTTCCTTTATAACACCCCTTTGAATGATGTATAATACCTTAAAAACGAAGACGGTAACCCTATTCTTAATTTACATCATTAAAATGGAAATTTTTATATAGACAACGAAGCATACCATGACGATATTTTTCATCTTCATTTCCAGACGATGTTTATCATATTCTGTTTACATAATGCTCACAATCTTCAATCCAAATGTTGTTCATCGTTATTAAATTTTAAATTCCTCCATCATGATGTAATACCTAATTTGTTCATTGTAAATGAATTCTAACATTAATAGTTGTTCATCATGATCTAATATTTATATTGTTCATCGTCTTCCGATTAGATGTTGTTTTCATATCCAATTTCAACTATTTGTCTTCTATGCAATTTACAGGACATCAGGGTATTAATTTTTTGTGTTTATTTTTTCTTTTGAGTATGAACTTTTTGCACTTGTTTCTGATTATACCTCTGTACATCGTCTGTTTACCAGGTTAGTGGCGCCAAAAGAAACCCTCTTCATATCATCTCTTATAATTTTTCAATACATCAAGTATTGATGTATATAAAATATTGATAGAAATTCTTTATGTTTTCTGCAAAATTCTCATTTAGTTGTTCGAGGTTTAACGCTGCCATCTGAAAAAAAAATATCATTATAATCATTATTACGTTAATACCGTGGGATAATTTTACCAAATTTCCAGAACTTTATATTTTCTTATGTATATTATATATACTTTATATTTGTACAATGCTGATTATTTTTATGTTTACTTGTTGACAATAAATTATTTTTCCTTGTAATTATGCCTTCTTGTGTACATTAACATAACTAATCTTACTAACATCGCGGTTTATTTCTGTGATGTTACATAAGTAGTTTACGAGAATGAAAAATATCATAAAGGTGAACTCTCTTCGAAGTTTTTAAAAATAAATATTTTTTATATTTCTTAAATTTACTATGATGTTACATAAAACAGCGTTCGCATTTTTTTTTTTTTTTTACATCTGAAAATTATTTAAACAAACAATAGGCATGCCAGTGGTATTTCGCTCTTTCCGGTTAGTTACCGTTTTGTTGTTAGGTGGATGTGTCATTGAGGTTTGTCCTATATCTCTTCGTATTCATATTATATCTTGGAAATAAACTCATCATAGATAGCAGAATCAAAATTGTGTATGCCAGACGCGAGTTTCGTCTACAAAAGACTCGCCAGTGAGGCTCGAATAAAAAAAGTTAAAAAAAAAAAGGCCAAATAAAGTAAGAAGTTGAAGAGCGTAGAAGACCCAAAATTCCGAAAGGTTATTCCAAATAAAACTATGGTACAATGTAGTCTATTCTTGGGGTAGAAAATCCTTAGCATTTCGAAAAAATTCAAAGTTTTATAAATAGTTAATTTGTAATTATAACCATATCAATGATAAAATTCCTGTCAAAACAGAAGTGCTGACTACTGGGCAGGTGAAACCCTAGAGGAAGAAACATCCACAAGCAGTGGCATCAACCAAGTGGTTGTAAATAAGCTCATCAAATATACACTCTATACACATTTCATCCAGTTATCAAAGAAAAATTAAATTATCGCTACCAAAAGAATTCATATCTTTTGGAACCACTTGGTTCAATTTAATCGAATATTACAGAACGTTATAAAGCTGTCAATTTTCAGCCATAAATTACAAGAGATGGTCATTCCGTTAGTCACATGATATACATGATGCAATCGACTCCGATTAAAATTAAACAGCACAATATCAATCCTGAAAGGATTAGATTCGGTTTGGTTCCTATTTCTAAATTAGGATTCAACAACCTTTGTCGTGTGTAATGACTAAATGTTTATGCATCAACACGTGAAATAGTGGACTGAAAAATAAGACCATTACGGTCCGTACTAACTCTTTTTGTGAGTGGTATCTGACGATTTATGTTTCGTTATTTAGAAAACCATTTTTCAATTATGTATGAAAAGTATTGATATATGAAACAATTTCAATTTCCCTGACGGGAGGAATTTTTTTCTCGTTTGAATGGAAGAAATTGAGATCTTAAAGCTGGTGAAACCTATCAAATTTTTTGTGCATTACTTAAAAAATAAGTAAAAGATCGCAAGAAGCAAATCAAAAACCATAAATTATTTTGACATAATATTTGTGGTGTCATGAAGATCAATAGTCATGAAAATCAGAGATCAAGATTCTGTGAAAATGCAGATTTTTTTATTTTTTTTTCATTTTTGACTTCTTACAAAAAACACACTTTCACCCCTCCCCCTTCCCAACACCAAAAAAACCCCACCAAAATAGCAAAAAAACAAAAAACAACTAAAGTCTCATAAATCTCATTTTAACAAAGAATGGGACTTTGATGTTAGTTTTTTTTCAATTGAGTTTTTGTAACCATTTTTGTTATTGGCGTATCGCACACTTTTGATCTTGCCGCTAAATTGAACATTTGTATATACACCCCGTGGTTAAGCTTAAAATAAAATTTAACATTTTTTTAGCAAAAAAATACGAAATTATAAAACTGCTATAGATGGAAAGAAGTGCAACGTTATTTGTGCTGTTAAGTATATTTTTAACATTTTTATGACAACTATCTTTTAATGCCAAGTTTGCTTGTATGTTTGTTTTCAGTGTTTATGCTGGGTAGACTGTCTCGTATGTGTGTATTTACTCCCATTCGATATATCTATACTTAGCGCAGACTCAGAGATGTACATATTAATGGCTTTTACTATTTACCTCCCACGTAAATCCACATGTATCGTAACCTATCCGCAAACACTGTGTGGATTTCGTTGTGTTCAAATTAAAATTGTAAAAGTAACTACAGAACCGATATTCCTTTTCTAATGCATAACAAAAAAAAATCAATGCATAAAATATTAAAAACGTATAAAATCAAAATAAAATAAAATTCCTTTAAATTTCATAATGATCTTGGTGCATTAACGTCATGTCAAAACATGACGTCATACGAATGAAAACTCTCAAGCTGAAGATTATTCAGTTATGTGTACGATCTAAATTTGGATAATAGCGCATTAAATTGGAGTTTTTAGGAAGGTGTTGTTTCATTTTCTATTCTACTGCATCATTCGCACATTTCGCACACTTCATGAATTTCAGCAAGTCAACATGGCGGCTCACTTCTTAGTTACGACATGTCAACTGTGGATTTGACATTAAATAGTAGCCAACGAAAAAAAAATGGGTTAAGACTTATCAGGACTGAACGCATTTTTTAAGCTGTTTTTTAAGAAATAAATCATGCAAGCCTTAGATTAATTTGAAATTTGTAGCTTTTATCTTACAGGGGTAAAATAGAACAGCCATACACACGGTAATCGTACATTCGCTTCAGTTTTTCAAATTACCGTATTTGTCCTTTTAAAATCGAAATAATTCAAGCCAAACTCCGTGCAGTGATCGTTTCCGTTCTGGAACTAGTTTCGTTTACTAGAGTAGTATGCGGATCGGAGCTGGAACTGCCGGGGAGTTTGATTTCATGCAAGCCATATATTTGTAATAATTTTCACATGGCCTGGACCATGTGAAAATTGACAACAAATCTATGGCTTGCATGAATTATTTCTGAACAACGTCTTCCACCAATGGCGCAACGTTATTTGCAGTTTGATGTACAGAAACGGCGAATTGGTACAGTACCTAGCTCAATAAATCAAGATTATTCAGCGCTATAAATTGATGTTAAAGGCAGGTATTCCATAAATCAACAGTTACCTTAAAGATTTGCATCGGAAGAAATCTGTTAATAAAATCAGTTTGTATCGAAAAGGAAAAAAAAAGACATAGTTTTCTTTCAAGCAAAATTTTGGTTTGCATGTCTCTTTTTCATCTTTTTTGGAAAAATTTTACAATATTATTTTCCAAAATACATCAAAATTGAAAAAAAAATTGTGAATTGCAGAAAAGATTAAAATATTGTTTATAAAAATCTCTAGTATCAAATAAACCCAGCGAAATAGACTCTAGACTAGCTCTTAGAATGTCGTTTACTTTTTGAGATTGAGGACGAGTATAAATACGTTTTCCTTCATTTTTCTTATGTTAGATAACTACGTTTCCTTTCTCGTCAAGATGATTACATGTATGTATGATTTTGGTTTATGTTTGATATGCTTTTGCAATGTGTTTAATTTTTAACTCAATATGTAGATGATGTAACGAGGACCTGAATAAATTCAGATATTTTAAAAAGCGCCAACAGAAAGCGCCTTTTTATAATACAAATGAATGAACTTAATTTAGGTCGAAATAAATCTTCTTGTAAATATCTATAGCTGAGATAACGAATTATCTGCATACATAAAACGTCCATTAAAAGCACAATAAGTAAAGAAATAATCCAGAACAATTTTAAAAAGCAACTTCAATCTATTAATCAGTAACTAGGAATAAAACTTAATAATTCAATGAAAGATTATTTTATTTATATTAATAAGATTATGTTCTAAGATTTAAGTCACCAATATTCATGTACATTAATACAGTACTTACCGCTAAGTAAGTTTAATTCACCAAGGATCCATTATAATTTAATTTCATTATGGCCATGTAAAGTCAATTTTGGGTTCTAATTCTCCTCATGGAATAAAACTCACATTTAGGATTTTTATGTCCGGCCTTCAACAGTTTTTACTAGGATGCTGTGGTCATATCAATATAATTTTTGTTCATAATAATCATGGTAAAATTTTAATTGCCCGCCAAATTATCTGAGATAAAAAGTAACTGAAAATGTGAAATATAATGTAACACTTAAGCGAAGAAACCCATTACGGAGAAAAGGAGGCGAGAATTCGAAAATTATTTTTATGTGGCCTGAGGATCTAACACAGAATATGAACCGAATCACGAGTTCAATCTGTTGGTTTCATTTCCTATGCTTAATTTACAGTGTATATACTGCCTTAAATTTATCAAAGCATATGCAAGATTGTTTTTAAAAAGGGGGCACCTTTTTTAAGTTGTCTATTTGCTACTTCGTTACCTCAAAAATATAGTTACCAAAATCGTTGTTTAAAAGTTTTAATGGGTAGAAATGACAAACATAAAGGACTAGGCGACGGGAATGTAGTGAGATAACGGGGGAAAGGGGGGGGGGTCAAAATGAATGACGAAAAGTCAAATTTAGTACGCAAAACAAACATAGATTTATTAACATGAACTTCACCAAACAAATTGGGATGCTCCGCAACGGTATGCAGTTCCTACCCCTCTAGTTTTCTTCATCACAAGTAAACATTGGAGGATAAATGCACTTGGGGATGAAAGCAAAAACAGAGGAAAGCAGGAAAGTTGAGAATACGAATAATGAAACGTATCCATTATCTGTGATACAGATATTCGATATAAATGGTATATCACGAAATAACTTTCTAAGCGACGACTTCAACTTAACGATTACGAAACATAGTAGCTTCCATGTAAGCAACAATCCTGTGCCGAAGCATCGTAAGTTTTAAATTATCTAATTAATTGGTTGACATACATCTTATATATACGTTTTACTACATACAAATGGAAAGTTCATATCAGGAAAATGTGAGTCATCTTTTTTGTTGAACACCCTGTGCAATTATCGCCGATAAAGACCGTTCCAG